TTTTTCCTTGCAATTGCATGGTTATGTCTCCCAATTCTGACTTTATATATCACAATTCATGATATATACAGCACAATTAATAGGTTTATAAGAGAGGAGAAATGCAGAAACAATGGTTTGAAGTTAAAAACATCTTAATGATGGATTTGTTTATTACAAACATGCAGCTTTTGGCTTCACAAGACATTAGCTGATGGACTGGAGTGGTTACTTGTGGATTATTGTGATGTTTCATCAGCTGTTTGGACTCTCATTCTGACGGCACCCATTCACTGCAGAGGATCCATTGGTGAGCAAGTGATGCAATGCTACATTTCTCCATATCTGAAGAAGAAACAAACTCATCTACATCTTGGATGGCCTGAGGGAGAGTACATTTACAGTAAATTTTCATTTTGAAATTAGTATTAGTTGCACTACATTTCAAAATCCACAAAGTAACGTATTGGAGTAAGTCTTGGAGAGCCACTGCCTTGCAGTCCACTTACAACTGGTTCAGTTGCCCTGAAGTAACATGTAGGGTTTAAGCCAACAACCATTTAGTTAGTACCCTAGATTGTTAACTGCAACGTGACACTTTATAAGCAAATATTTCATAATTATATAAAGCCACTATAGATAGTTTGTATTACTATAAGTACAGTATTATATGATTTTACAAAATGAGATTCCATCATCAGGGCTAATTTGCTTCCTTTGAAAATTATATTTCAACACAATTATCACTAAAGCTAAATGTTAAGTGTCTCAAGTTTTCAAGTCATGCTTTCACATTCGGATTATTCTAGCGGGCCTTTAATTACCACCGCAGTCATCGAAAGCAGTATAGTTTCTTAACTCAGACTGACCTATTAGGTCAATATAATTTGATATAGTGAGCATGAGTCACTTCAGTAACCATTGTGCACAGAGACCCAAAATAACACAAGCGAGAAGGAACAGTTTAAACAGTTGCTTAGCAACCAATTACTTTCTGACAGTTAAGGGTACTTATGATCTCCACATAAAATCTGGGTAATGAGAGTATTTAATGTCCTATGGGAACTGAGCATAACACCTTTCTGAACACACTTCTACGTTTGGCTGAGGAAAAGAGCATGACATGATGTTGTCTTTCTAAAATGTGATGTGAGATTTATGATGATGTCAAACGGTTGCTTAAAGCACATCCTGTAATCATGACTTTATGAAGCCATTGGAACTTTGCAAATTACAAATCCGCTCAATTAGTTGACCTGCCTCATATTGAGCTGGCTGGGTGGTTATATAGTTATTGTATGAGTAAACAACCCAATGATTTATCATGGATACCTTTCATGTTACTTATAATAGTTGAGTTAATAAAACTCACAAGTGGGAAGAAACCAAGAATGGGTGGTATGACCAAAATATTTTACTTTATACACTATATAATCACAATACAGTTAGTCCTGTTGGAAATGCAGTGATAAAAATACATTGTATTAAATAGCCTTCATCTTCTCATTTGATTTAACCATTTGATTTATTTATTTACTTACCAAAACATCAGAACATTCTAAATACATTAATGATAAATCTGGCCTCAGAGTACAAGCTGTTTAACATTTAGCCATTGTAAAACAGACTAAAACACGCACACCTGTGATACAATCAATTAAATTCCACACAGACACACTCAAAAAAAAAAAAAAAAAGATTGTAAACAACTCCACTTTCACCCCTTGATAATTTATTTTTCATCTTGTCTTGTTTTTGGCATTTTTATGTTTCATTGTGTCCTTGTTACACATGTAAACCAGTCCTGACCAAACAAAGAGCAAATTATGATGAAACAATAAATTTGCCGTTGCTTACAGCATGAAAACGACAATCTCCATCATTAATTGATTGATTGATTTTTGCTCAAAGTCAGGATGAATCAAGGTTGTTCAACTCATTCATACATAAAACTCATCTGTGTTTTGTAGACTTCATGTTGAAAATGCATCGATATTAATAAATTTTTTTCTTAAAGACAAAATTATCAACACTTTCAGAAAAAAAAGGTACAAAAGTTGCGACAGTATTCTTTAAAAAGGTACACATTTGTACCTTATTTACCCCCAAAGGGTGCATGTTAGTATCTAAAGTGTACATATTAGTAAATTTTTAAAGGGTACCACCCCAGTGACAGCTTTGTACTTTTTTTTTTTTTTGTACAACATATTGTAACTTTAGCAGTATTCTGAAAGTGACAATGTAATAGCTTATTTATCTCTAATAGTTTCACAGTACCTTAAGGGTACATATTACTACTCTAAGGTACTATGTAGATCAGATGTGATACACATTCGACCGTTACAAAGGTACTGCCCCAGTACCAAGCTGCTGTTCCCCTAAAGGGACACTTTTTGAATATTTGTTTCTCAGTGTTGACAATTTTGGGATATATATATATATATATATATATATATATACATATAGTCCCCCAAAAAAATAATAATAACAAAAATAAATTAAATGCTTAAAGGGGTCCTATTATGCCCTTTTAAGAAGTCTTGATTCAGATTTTGGGATGTACTAGAGTAGTAGGCTTATACTAGGCTTGATTGTTCCAAAAACACATTATTTTTCACATATTTTGCAATATTGTAGTTTGTCTCGAATGTTCTGGGATGTGTTTCCCAAAAGCAACTTTGGTCGCTAGTTCCGTCGTTACCAATACAGTTCAATGGAATTTGCGACCATAGTTAATTATGCTTTTGGGAAACGCACCCCTTTTTAGTTCATATTTCGATGCAGCCCCTCTTTTCAAAATTTGAAATGTGCTCTGATTGGTTAACTGGCCTAATGTGTTGTGATTGGCAAACCGCTTATAGTGTGTTCTGGAAATGACACATCTCTTACCATAACCGCAAGTTTCATCTGCTCAGCTGTAAATACTATCGATGGCGTCAATTTTACATACCAATTTGAGTCTGATTCAGACCCTGAGCATGTTTATGAACAAGAGGATCGTGCAGAACCTTTGCAAGCACAAATAAAGCAGTTTGAAGATACAACGACTCTTAACCCGTGGCAAAAACACAAAGTAGCTCTTCTTCTTCTCTAGTGCAGCTCAACCAGGCCACATCTGTGGGCGGGGATTATTTGAATGAGTGACACTGTGATTTCACAGTATCCAGAAGTCGTTTGTTGTAGTTCTTGAAAACTCTTTTCTGCTAAAGATATGTAGTGGACGTTGAGCTTTGTAACCTTGCAGATCTTTTTTATGCTCAAACAGCAACATTACACACTGACTAAAGTTGAAAAAGTGAAAAAGCATAATAGGACCCCTTTAATCAGAGACCGGATAGTTGCACAAATCTCACACACCACTGTATAGAATATATAGCCATACCACCCAACCTTACTGCAGATGAATTACTGTAGTTTATATGCATAAGAATTAATAAATTAATACATAAATAATAATCTTTGCTCAAAGATGTCTCCACAACAACAACAAAAAAGCAGGAAAACAGGACTGGCAGCTGCATCTCATGTACTTGCTAATGACCTTCTTTTATGAAAAACATGGCTTCTTTAGAAATTATTTCTTGAATGCAAGATTATCAGCTGCAAGTGGAGCATAAAAGTCATACAAGTAGGAAACTTCTTTGCTGAGGTCGATTGGCTCGGGCACCAAAACACTAAGCCTTTTGTATGCGGGCTCCTCAGGGACTGAATTATCCTGCCTGCTCACTCCCCGTTGAAATGACACAGCGCTGGCACAGCCCTCCCCACACCCAGGTTAATTTAAAGCGGTCTAATCTGAGGAGGTATATAGTACGGGAACTTACTGTTAACCTATTAAAAGTTTTTTTCCGTAGCGTTTTTACAAAATTTTACAGTTAAAATTACACTTATTTTTTTACAGTGTAGTTTTGATAAATATAACCATCAGACAACCGCCACAATCTCTTGTCATCACATTTTCAACAGAGAGCTCAGCAGTTCTTTATCAACATGGCTCAAATCTGCTGCTGTTTTATCTGGCATAGTTCAGGTATTGTTTTAGGAAGGTTTTAAGTTTTGGTAAAATATTTGGTTTGAGAGATAATTGAATGGGTTTGATTAAAATGTGATATTTTGATTATTTTTGGGAAGAGTTTGTGTAATGCCACATTGGAAGTTCGGATTTTTGATTTGGATAATTTTGCTGGGACTGGAGAGGAAATAATTGTTCTTCAATCAAGGAATTGAGGCTTTGATGGTGGATTAAGCTTTTTTTTGTACATGACCAGAGGTAAGTGAGACTTGTGCTCTATAGATTCTGTGCTCTATAATTGCCAAGAAGTGTAAGTGAGACGGGTTAGACCGTCAGAGCAAGGTTATTTTCGTAAACGAAAACTAAAACTAAGACTAAAACGATTGATGAAAAAACAATTTCGTAAACTGAAATAAAATAAAAACGTCAAAATAATTGAAAAACTAAAACGAAACGAAACTTACAACAGTTATTGAAAAACTAACTGAAATAAAACAATTATCAAAAATAAATAATCGTTTTCGTAATATTAGGTTCTCACCCCTTGGCGGAAAAAAAGCCTACCTGTAATGGCGCATCACGCACATGGGGTTATCTGACGGAGAGACGCAAAGCAGTTTAAAGCCTGCACGGGTCCTGTTTGGTAAACGCGCACCAGCAGTAGACTTAACAGAACACCCGACCCGTTAGCTGACAGCCAGCACCGTTTGACATAAAGACCGCGAGTCGCGACCCGAACCGTACTCGCATTAAATCTATTACATCAGGTAAGCAAGATTATTTATTTTATCATGTAACACAAGCAATCAAACCAACATTAGGCATTCTAAGTTGGTGCTTTGAAGAAAAACAGACATGCAGTGCAACATGATAATTAACATGCCTGCTTTCTTTGGCGTATATTTGTATACTTTTACTATCTAATCAATCTCAGCATGCGTTAATTTTGTGTCGCTATTGCCTCACTAAGATTAAATTATGCCTATAAATTATGGGACTGAGCAGCGCAGTGAGAAAAATGGAAAGAAAGAGAGTGTTTTATTTTCGGGGAAACGGTTTATGATTGGGGGCATCCCGGGCACGAGTGAGTTGAAGTGCGTGGACTGGAAAACAACACCGTCTGTTGTTTGGACAGGGAAAAAAAGGGGAAATCCTCGGTGGGTGTTGGTCTGGTCGCTGAGCAGTTTGGAGCAGTCTGCGATCACACAGATTTCGTATTTCTCCGTGGGTGAGAAATATCTGCGTAGAGGAATCGTGCAGGCCGCGGAAATCGAGCGTGAGTGACATTTAATGTGAACGTTGAGTTTAGGACATGCCATTTATGTTGTGAAGTGGAAGGGAAAGTAAACCAAACTTCTTTCTCCTTTAATAAAATAATACTAGAGGGGAGAACGAAGGCACGTGAAGGTGCATGTGAGGTGACAGCTGGGTGAATTTCTAATGTGACGCAGCACGCCACAGAGTGAGTAATATTGATTTCATTCGGTTTTGGGAAATGTATATGTATACTCAGAGAAAATGGTTCACTAGTTGTATACTGTTTTGATGTCAATGTTAATTTGAATTCATTAATAATCTGTTCTTGGAGAAGAAGATAGTAATAACAATGTTAATAGAGATGTACAGAGTGTAAAATGGATTTACTTGAATTTATTTAGTCAATAGTTATAAGTGGCTTATGAGAATGTATATTTGATTATATTCTATGTTTGTTCTTCCTTTAGAAAGCATTATAAGCCACTACCGTTGTTTATCCAGGGGGTTAAGTGCTCACACCAATTTATTTGTACTGTGTTTAATTAATTAATTAATTTTATTTTATTTTTTGTTACTGTGGGGCTATCCTTGTAAAGGGAAAAAAAGGGGAATTGGCGAAACTGGCCTGAAGTTATTTCGGTAACTGTGAGCACTATTTGAAGTGCTTATATTTTTGGATTTGTTTCTTTATACCTTTGGGGAAGCGTGCTTTTGGTTGTGTTTATTCTTCACTGTATACATTTCATCGGCACAACTCCCCTCAATTGAAAACCTTGAGTATTAATGCCGCGTCTTCTGCATACGCGGTCGGAAATAAAGAACCCCTAGTTTAGATACTTGGCAGTGTTTGAGTTTCTTTAAGAGTTTACACATTCACACGGCCACATCTTTTTGGTACCAGGAGTGGGGTTCATTCCTTCTGTTGGTTTCCTCTTAGGGGGAGTGTTTTTTTATTTCCGTGCGTCAAATATTAACTGTTAGTCTGCGTGGGGAGATAGACAACGGTAGTGGTGGAAGGAGGGTCACGTGTCAGCTTCCACTGAAGAGAGAGAGCCGTGCCCAGAGGCGGGAAGGACTGCAGGAAAACAAGCAGCCAGGGTGCCAGGACCAGTTGGAAAGAGGGAGTGGCATTGGACTTTGTTTTGTGTAAACTTTACAGAGACTGAGACCCTTTATACCTGAGGCATAGGGTAATGGAGGCGGACGTTTCTAAGGAGGGAGCCACCTGGGGGGAGGATCGCCCAGGGGCTGGTGCTGCTGCCAGGGCTGACGATGATGAGGGAGGTAACGCGTTCTTACAACTCCGGTCACAAATACAGGAGCTGGGGAGGAGACACGATCAGGTGATGTCAACACTTGCTGGGCTGAGCACTGGTAATACCAGGTCTTATGTCTATATTCCCAGGGAAAAGCAAATTGTTCCTTACTGTGGTGACGCTAGTAAAGATTGCCAGACTGTAGATGAGTTTATTGAGGAACTCGAACGAGTTATTCATGTAAGGGGACTGAGTGAAGAGGATCAAGTAGACTTTATTTTGTCACACTTGAGGGGATCGGCTCTGGATGAGGTTAAACTGTGTATGGGGGGGGAGGATGCACAACCGCGGGAGTTGTTTGCGTATTTGAGGGCTGCATTCCGTGAGAAGCGTACAACCCCTCAGCTTTTACATGCCTTTTATGCAAGGAAACAGTTAGAGGGGGAAGATCTCAGAGAGTATTCGCATGCCTTGTCGACAATGTTAAACGCAGCACTCCAGCAGTCGCCTAATGCAGTGCAGGATGTGCAGGTAGCACTAAGGGATCAGTTTGTGGAAGGAGTAAGGGATTCCATACTCCGTCGGGAATTGCGCAAGATAGTGCGGGATCGACCTCGTGTGACACTATTTGAGGTCAGAGAGGAAGCTCTGTTATGGTGTGCAGAAGATCGTCCCCGTGGTGCGGGTATTGCTAGAAGTCGTTACTTGCTGGGCCTGGGTGTTGAAGAGGGTACAGGGTCCCAGAATGTGGGTGCATCGTCTTCGGGAGACCTGAATGCTGTCTTGCAGGAGGTAGTGAAGGCAGTAGTTCAACAAGGGAAAGCGATCGGAGAGCTAACGAACGCGGTCCGCAACCTCACCACTCAAAGAGTCAGTTCAAGTTTGGAAAGGCCCCAAAGGGCTACGGTTAGACCCAGATATACGTGGGACGGTCAGCCAATTTGCTTGAGGTGTGAAGCTGTGGGACATATAGCCCGCCAGTGTACGGCGCGGCTTAATCAGGAAGGTCAGGTGTCGGCCTCTGGGGAAATAATGGCGCCGGAAAACAGGGTCCCTCCATTGCGCAGAGCCGAGCAATGAGAGGGGGTGCCGCGTCTTCCGCGTCTTCTGCATACGCGGTCGGAAATAAAGAACCCTTAGTTTAGATACTTGGCAGTGCTTTAAGAGTTTTAAGAGTTTACACATTCACACGGCCAC